GGCTAAACAGACCACAGACTAAAATCAAGAGTAAGCAATTAGGGATGAGAAGCAGAACATCTCTTCTGGATTGTTCTGCATTCACAAAAAAAAGCCCTACTGTTGATCGCACTGTGCTCGCTTTCCTGTGCTCACAGTTTCCACTCATGAGAGAGGTGAATGGAGCACCAGCTTTGTAGAAAGCACATAGGAAAATGAGAAGGATGTCTAGACAGCCTCAAGAGAGCGATTCTGAGGGCACTTTACCCAGCCTTGTTCTTGTCTGATTTGGCTTTAGGGGAGAAAAAAATTGAGTGCCCTTTTTTTTTTAGCGATGACATTGCCTGTGGGGGTTACTGTCACCAGTCTCATCGATTCCTGCAATTCAGAAAGCACTCTGCAACAGGTACTAAATCTGCCTGACAATCCTTTAATGAACTGGAAATGTCTACCAACACCCATAGCATCCAAATCTGTCTAGTTGATCACTGCTCCATATAAGACAGAACACTTTAAAGATGCCTGAAGTTAACATTTGGTAAGCCAAAATTATGCTTATTAACAGCAGCCTGGGTCTGATCTTCTGGTATACTAGTATGGCTGGCATGAAGTTTACTTCATAGTAGCTGATATGGGGCTGTGTTTTTGATTTGTGGTGAAAACAGTGCTGATAACACAGGGATGTTTTAGTTACTGCTGAGCACTGCTTACAAAGCCTCAAGAGTTCTGCTCCTCACACCAGCCCACCAGTGAGCAGCCTGGAGGTGCACAAGGGGACACAGGCAGAACAACCAACCCCAACCGACCAAAGAGATATCCCAGACCATATGGCATCCTGCTCAGCATATAAAGCTGGGGAGAAGGAGGAGGAAGTGGGGGTGATGGTGCTTGTCTCCAAAGTAGCCTTTACCTGTGAAGGAACCCTGCTTTCTTGGGGGTGGATGAAAACCTGCCTGCCCATGGGAAACAATGAATTCCTTGTTTTGTTTTGATTACACATGCAGCTTTTGCTTTGTCTACTAAAGTGTCTTTATCTTATCCCATTAGTTTTCTCACTTTTACCTTCCAAACTACTCCCCATCCTGCTGTGGGAAGTGAGTAAGCAGGTAGTGGGATCTTAAGTGCCTATAGGATTAACCAACTGACATCTGTGAAATGAGTTAAGAAAAGCAGAAATTTCTGCATCCAAGAGCAGCTGTGAATGGCAGACACTTCTCATAGATACTTCCAGACAAAGAGACAGAGATTCCAAATTGACAGTGATTGAAAAACAAAGGAAGTATTATTCAGAAAGATTCTTTTTCCAAATAAAATGGTTTTCAGAGAAAATAGCAGCAGTCAAGACTTATGAATTTGTCCTCCTAGGAGTACAATGACCACTTGAATAGTGCTACTCTGCTGGTGAACCAGGTCTGGGAACAGTGTGTGTCCAGGAAGTATGGTCGCATCAGTGACGGAATTTCATAAAAACCATCTAAACCTACCCTTCTTGTTAAAGAATATCAGATCAGCTTTAGTTCGTCATCAAGGTCTCACTAATTTTTGCACTTGCTTCCAAAATCTGCAGTGTTAAATCCACTTGCTGTCCTCACACTGATGTTCTTTCCTTTTCCTGCTGTGATGGGGTAGGAAATGGATGAATGGATAACTTGAGATATTTGGATAACTTGAAATATTTTACAACTGCACACACCTACACTACAGAGACACCTTCAGGAGGTGGCAGCTTCTCCACTGAACACTGCTATTGACCCTTTAAATAGCACAGGAATTTTCTTCTGATGCAAGTAACATTTATTTGGGTGTTCTTTTACATTATTTCTGGTCTCTGTTTATCAGCTTTGGCTTCGTTGATTTCCTACTTTGTCATTTGTCTCCTGCAGCTATTTTTCTCTGTGAAACACTTTTTTTCCATATGCCTCCCTATTGCATCTTGCTCTTTCTACATTTGTTTCCTTATTCATACCTATGTATCTTCCAACTATTAATCTGTGCAACTGAGAAATAAGCCAGTTTTCCTTTTTTCTGAATTCATGCAGCATTTCCCATTTTTCCATCTTCCTGCTCTGTGCTGCCTACGCAAGGGCTGACAGGATTTTACTTTACAGTGGGTGAAAACCAGATTAAGGTACTTGTCTCCAAGTACCTTTAAATGAGGAAAAAGAACATTTGGAATAGAGCTGACTTGCACTTGAGTCATGGCTCCAGGCCAGGCAAACAGGGCCTGCTGTATTTCAGCAGCTCTTCCAAAGGAGAATCAGAATTCGGAAGGAGGCTGGGGCCCCAGGCAGAAAGACATCTGTAGCACTACTGCCCCCTGGGCGTTTCCCTCTATTTCTCTGACCTGTCCTTCCCCTATTTTTCTTTTCCCAGGCTGATGATTTCAGCTGTGCTCCCTATTATAAAGCCCAAGTCCCACATTAATATTCTCTGTGTTCTTTACATTGACTCTTTAATGAAACCTTACTCATACTTTAAAGGGATGAAGACAGACATGAACTTCTGCGGTCTTGATGGCTTAACACAGGTTTGTCATATAAAGCCAGCACTGCATTTTGAGTCACTCTCTCATAGAAGGAGTCTGCTTTACATACCTGGCTTCAGGGAGCAGTATGGGAAGATACGCTGTGGATTATTTTCCTGCTATTGCTGTAGGCTGCTTTGCTTGCTGTCTAGTGAAGTACATAATAGAGAAGCAAGAATATTAGGTTCTGACACTTCTGATTTGCATTTTCTTTTAACTGCTTCTATTTTGTAGTAAGTTGTGACTTGGATGAACAGATAATATTTCTTCCCCTGACTTTAATTCCTTTGAAAAGTGTGTCTTGACAATCCTAGATTCACCAGACTTTCTGACAGACTAAACACTGTATGAGAGACACTGCATTTTTTTTTCTGCAGCAGCCCACTGCTGAGGTCACAGCTGGTCATCCCAAATACAAAATAAAGCTCATTGTCTGGAGCTGTCATTTACTTCCAAGACTGTTCACAGACTAGTAGCTAATGTTAGGGCATCAGACCCATAATGGCTAGACTCCTGAATTGTATGAAGAACTCAAAATCATCACCCTCCAAAACTGGTTTGCTGTCTGCAGGAAAAAAGACAAGAACAACAGTGAGGACTTGGTAGCCAGCAGCTCCTGTCCTTTATGCTGCCAGCAACTGCTCATTGTCAGGCCACACTGGGAACACATGTCCTGGTGCTTTCGAACATATGCATGTGACTGCATGAGTGAATGAAGCCTATGAGAGGAGAGGTGTGAGCAGACGGGATCAACTTACACTGAGATGTTGTAAGTATGGTCTCATTTCATAGTGTCTTGCATTCAGCTTGTAAAACTAGTTCTCCCACACAGAAAACAATCCAGGTCATTAATTTATACTTTAGCTCTAAAGACCAAGCTAAGAGGAATATAAATCTTGGAGAAGCAGGAAGGCAGAAAATTAACACTGCTGGGAAATGAGTGATAATATTAACTTACTGCATAGCAATGGATTTCCGCTTTGTTGATAGACTTTATTTTACGCAACTGAACTGTACTGAAAATTTATTTTATGACAACCCTTCACTGAAAATCTGTGAGAAAACATCTTTTTTTTTTTATCCACTCTTGAAGAAACAGCAAATGAGCAGAACATTGAGTTTAAGTGCTTTTATATCTTTTTACACCTTTTTTCTTGAGAAAAATGTTAAGATGTCCCAACAGAATGGACTACTTAGAGACTATTGCAGAACAGGAAGATGTCAACAGCCAATATACTAGAATTTTATTTTTTTTAAAAGAAGGCTTCTATGTTATAATTTGCATTTTCAGCTTCTCCGGTAAACAGCTGTGTCTACTGCACCAGTGTTCTCAGCTACAGAAGCCATTTATCAACAACACTCTGAAAACATTAGTCACATTACTGGAAGACGTAAATTGCCAGGTGGTGAGGCACACAGAAGGTAAGAAAGATATGTGATCTCTCATTACAACAACTGCTGGCATTAAGATGACCTACAGCTCTCCCAGCTACAGTACTGTATGGCTAGATACCAGCATAGCCATTCCAACCCCTGAGATTTAGGGTATAAATGATCACATATTACTGCACAGTGGAGATCAACTTACAACCAAACATTAAAACTGTAATCAAATGATACTGGAAGGACCTGGAGAAGAATAATAAAAATCTAATGGCAATTTAAGATTCCTGAAATCTAGCAGCACTTCTTTTGTATGACATGGCCATATTTAAGTCTGCTTCCAAGGCACAATTTAAGCCCTAAATTATCAACCCTTATGACCTGCTGAATCTTCATACCTATCAAAAGTCCAGGAGACTATCTTCAATAAGCACGAAAGGTTAGTTTAATCTAAGTTTTTTGTACTGAAAAGGTGTAGGAGCATTCATATGGTTGCTTGCAGGTGGGTGGAATTAAGAAACCATAGGTTATCCCCTTTCAGTTCACATTTATTGTTTCACCAGCCAATGCTCCTGGTTAGCTGTTCAGAAGTCAGCCAGGTTTACTTAAAAGTAGTGGTAACATAAACTGACCCATTTGACACAGATGTAGATTCAGACAGGAGTGGGCACACAGCACCAGATAGGTGACAGGCCTGAACATTCACCAGTTCCGATGCCTTCCTTCACTGAAGTCAGTAAGGTGGTTTCAATCTGTTCCTGCCCCATGGCTTCTGTTTTGTACCCTATCAGATGTAGCAAGACTTCCTATGCATTAGATTTCTAGATAACAGCAGAGGCACAAATTAGAGAGCAATTAAAAAAGCTACTCTTGCATTCTTTTAGGAACGATATTGCTTGCTAGCACCAGCACAGCAGGGATTTGAATACAAGGAGGTGGACAGAAATATGAGACACAAAATTGACTCAGTTTCAATTTTTTGGAAGGACAGGTAGGGAACGGGAAGAAAAAATACTTGTAACTAAGCAAAGAACTGTGATTCAAAATGGTGAAGTGTTTCCATGCACCCAGGGAATAAAGAAAGAAAACTGGAGCTGAAAGGAAATACTTCCAGTGTGGGTTGCAGTTCTTTATTTCTGATTCATATGGATATGTATGCATACAATGATATTAAATATCCTTGTATTGCTTAATCTATAAGTCAGCATAGGTCTTTTAACAAACAAACAAAAAGCACAACTATTAATTTATATTTCATCTGAGCGCTGATACACAGTAGAAAAAATCCGTATATAAAAGCTTATAACTGTGCAGTTATATGTACTATATTCCTCTTCCAACTAACTACTGATTTATTGACACACTATTGTTAGTATAATATAGAATTGCCATAACATTAAAAAACTTTTCAAAATATATTAATAAGCAAAGATAACCACACCTTGACTTTGCAATCATTTTCTGCACCAACACATTGATGCACCATTTTGTTTTAACGTGACATCTGGTTTAAACAAATCACTTTTGTCTCAGGCTGCCACTATTAGTCCACTCATATTAATAATATTAATTCATGTATAGCTTTGCTGTTTAGTAATTTCACACAAAGCCTTTAGAATTAAACTCACTTCTGAGCTGACATCCAGCACTAAGAACACAAATCTCATGTACCCCACTTAGGCCTCAAAGAGTGCATAAAGATTTGTGCTTAACTTCTGCTTTGTGGTGAACTTCTCTTTTAGCTAACGGTTTCTCTCACCTACACCATAACACAAGTCATCTGGTGGCTTAAACTACAGGTCTACAGAAGATGTGACTTCATGCTACTAAATGCTTTTAATTGTTTAGATCTAGGTGAAGCTTAATTAGCATCTGGAAGTTAATACAAATATTAATCTGTACATAAAACATTATCCCCAATAATACTAAGTGACAGCACTTTTATAAGGCAGACACAAGCCAAGGTTCAAATATCTGAGAACAGGTGGGACCTGCCATATCCTAGTTCAGGGCACGGTTATAGAGCAGCAGCAACAGTCACAGGATTAGGCCCTTCCTCTGTGAAAAGTAACAGGAACTGACAGAAAGATGCAATATAGGGTAGCTACTGTGACAGTGTATACCTGTCAGTATAGAGCAAGGACTGCAGAAGTGCAGGTATGTCAGTTTTGATGCCAGAAGTTAAGAAAGCATTTAGCAAGTTCTTGCCTTTCTGACAATTTTGTTAATATCTTCACTACAGCAGCTGAACAACTGTGCATACAATGATGATGCCTTCATTGCCTACAGACTAGCAAATACAAGATACAAATTGACGAAGATGGAAATGTGCAAACCACAGAACAAAAATATTAATAATTTAACTAAAGGACCAAATACAATTTTCACTCTCATTTTAGATCCTACTGAAAAAAATATAAGGCTCATGCTGTCCTGCCTTTTGCTTAAACTTTAATCCCCAAGAAAACTTTTGCTTGTCTTCTCTTTCATTAATAATTCTGGACTGGAAGCAGGAGTGGAATAAGTCCACACATAAAAAAGAAGGTGCAAATTATGTTGAATTTATATGTCAATGATCTTATTTACCTTAGATGTATTTACAAAGTACAGAATCCACAGATATAATTCCAGGATATATGGGAATCTTCTGAAGCTAGTATTTCAGAGACTGCATAACACTATTAATTCTATTAGGACATCCCAAAAGGCAGATGAGTCACAGGTTTGGGAAGTGCATGTGTGTGTTCACTAAGGGGAAGACAAAACATCAGCCATATTCTTGGCTCTTGTCATTTTAAAGCAGACAAGAGGAATTTATGCAGCAATTAATTTGCTGTCTCTTGCAAAAGAATGGTCTGAGAGACTGCAAGTATTTTCTAGTGAAAGTGAGGACTTACTGTAGTGTCTTTTGTGCCAGTACACAGGATCTCAGCAAACAAAGAAATGCTTAGTGTTTTTCTTAATTTCATGTTTTCACTGTTGTATTCTGTGACATGACAATAAACTGCATTGTAGTACTTGGGGGTTTTATGTTAGATACATTCTGAATACTACTTGGACATCTATTCCTAACAAATGAATGTGACTCCCAATTTTAGATTTATACATTTAATCTTCAGTTGTTAGAAGAAAATACTAAGTAGTTGTTTCATATTCATAGCATTAACAGCCTTTACAATCAGAGTGAGGATGCCACTCAAAGACTTGTAACTTAAAAATAATTTAGAAAAACAGTTTTAGAAAACAACAACTTCAAATTAATACTCCAGGGCTTTTAGAATATATGACGATCATTTACAGGATTAGCTGCTTCTATAAAAACCAAAATAAAAATACTAAACTAAACGATTAAAATAAAATTAATTTCAGTTACTCACTTGTCCTCTGGGAAGTCTATGGCTAATTATTATTTTATTTAATGCATGTCTTATCTGTGACCAAATAAAAAAGTCATTAGAGTTAAATGAACACAGAAAGACTTTCCAGACAGCAAGAAACAAACAAATTCAAGAAAGTCCTGCATCATTTCTAGAATTATTCTTAAATAACAAAGTTGCTGCTGCTCTGTGACACAACTAAGCTAGAATTTATTGTAACAATAACTATTCTGTTTGGCTATGCATAAACATTAATATGCTGAAGGCAAAAAAGAAACAAAAATTTATATCTTCTACTGATTTGTTGATGAGGCACACTGTTGTTAAAATGGTATCCCTTTAAACAGAAATTGCACATACACATTGAAAACAGTGCTAGACAATACAGCTTTCCTAATGAAAACTCCATTTCTGATAACAACACAGGCCCCAAATTCTGCTGTTTCCATGGCAACAGGATTGCTCCTTTTGGTGGTCTTGAATTGTTGAATGACATGGAAAAACCATAAAACAAACAAAATAAACCGAAACTGCCTGCTGTACACCATGGTCACAGGCGTCTGGGTGAGAAAATCCAAGCAAACCCTCTTCTTCAGATGGGTGGCAATGATGCTTTTTATTTCAGGGTCATGTCAATGCTATATATTAAAGACAAAAACAAAACAAAAAAAAAAAAAACCAAAAAAACACAGAAGAACAACAACAACAAAAAAAGAAATCAGTGCTGTGAAATATGCAGCTAGTCATTTCCCCAATCCTGAGCATCCTCATCTCTCACTTAAATGTATTGGTGTCAAATAATTTACACTCATCCCACCTACTGTATATGCAAAATATACACCTTAATAAGATCTGTAACATTTTAATTGAAACTGAATAACTACATTCCCAGTAATTTCAATCTGAAATAGACACCAGATGTGGGAAGATCCACTGGTGGAATGACACTACAGTGTGGCAAGGTATGGGTGCCCCTCAAAATGTTTGTAAAAGTATGGTTTTGCCATTTAGTACAAACATGTAGTCAAATACATTAGAAGCATTCTTTAAAATAAGGAGTCGTCATTACAGAATACTAGCTAACTATTTAAATCAAATTATCTATGAACTGTTACAGAACACACAGGGTTCTTTTACTATGAATCACTTCATAATGATTTTTTTTTCTTTTTTCCAAGCCATGAGGAAGTGCAAGAATTTGAACAATGACAATAGCACGACAGCAGATAAAAGCCTCTGGAATAGATATGAAAAAAAAACACAACAGAAGCAAACTAAGAGCAGGGCAGACTCCAGAGAGGTTTCCATAGAAAGCATATGGTAGAAAAGTCTACATATAACCGCTATTATCTTTATGGGGGGCATTTACACGGGGAATCCTACTTCCTGAAGAAATAACACAATAAATGAGCTATACGACCACAGGAAAATTACTGCCACTTCCGAAGACAGATTCATATTTATGCATATTTAAGCCAAATAGAAATTATCTTCTCACATCTCTTCTTGCTCCCCAGCTTCAATTTTGAGAAAAAAAGAAAATTCTTCAAGTCAAAATTTAGTTTTTGGTTCTAACCTATGTCTTGGGTATGATACTGTGATAGCTTACTAAGGTAGAATTTTATTTTAAAAACATGAAAAGAAAAGCTACATTTTGTTTATGTATCTCTTTGCCACATGTATTGCTCATTATTTGCCTGCTTATTAGTACTCATGTTACTGATGTAATCTTTTACTGAGGAGTCTGTTTTGCTATATTCTATTTCCTGAACAATATTCCAGTGTAAGACAACAGTGTATTTCTACATACCAGTCAGATGAGTAGGGACAGCAAAGTCCCCAGTCACTCCCGCACGGTGTGCACTGGCCAGGAAAAAACACACTGCTGTAATGACTAGTCCTCCTGACATGCTGTTCTAGCAACGGTGACACACTACAGCTACACCTTCTCTGATGCACAGTAAGAACAATGCAGAGTTCCATTCGTGTGCTTCAGTTACGGTATCAGACGGAAGAACAGCATGCTAGAGGACTGACACATTCCCATTTCCATGGGAACCAATCCAACTTCGAAAGGAAAAGGCATAAAGATACTAGAGATTTAATCAGGGAAATAACTATGAAAAAGGCTGAGAACCACAAAAGCAAAGAGAGGAAAAAATGAAGAGCATAACCCAGGAATTAAAGTAAAATAAAAGACTTTTTAATCTCTGAATGAGAATGCCATGTTTACCACTTTTAATTGAGGATAATGCATGGATGCATGTGGCACTTTTTCTATCTGTTTTGCACATAACTTAACCTGAGTACCTCAGGCTAAGAATTCTATCTGTCTCTGCTTGGAAATGGTCAAGGACACTTTAATCACATCTGCAATGAAAATGTAATAAAGCTTACTTCAGTGTTTTTTCTGTGTGCATATGTTGAATCAAGTTCCTGAAAATAACTACAAAAGCACTTAGGTCTCCAAAAAAGCTTTATGGAGTCTACCCAGCCTCTGTTCCTAAGCATGGTGGCAAAATAACGTTAAAATATAATGACAATTATATTGACAATTATATTGTTAAAATATAATGACAATATTAGGCATAAATTCTTACTCTTGCTCCACTGAAGTGATTTCTGGATCATTTGAAAGGCAGCTAGTTCTGGGTACAAGGAAAAAGAAGTAGTAGTAAACATTTCTTTTGTGCTTTTTTTTTTCTCTTTTTAGACACGACATCAAGTTTGTGGGATGTAATAACTAATGAATATCTCTGACAGCACAAACACACAAATGCTATTGATGGGAACATACTGATCTTACTGCCTCCAATACAAACTAGTTTGAGTAATAAATTTTTTAAGTTATTTCCTTAAGTTGGCTAAGGGAAATGCACTACAGCAACTTCATACATCCAATGATAACAATAATCAGTGATGCCTGAGTATTTAGTTCCCCTTTCACTTGCTATGCTCCAACCTGCACTCTTTTAAATGAATGGAGCAATAAGAAAGCTTTCTTCCACAGAGTTTTCACTGTCATGTACTACAATATATTTGAAAATGTTTGAATAGAAGGGATGGAAGTTGCATATCAAGGTTGGGTGGGCCTCTTTTATTTAACAAAATATTCAAATGGTATCAGATAAGTACTTATCATAGAATAGTTAGGGTTGGAAAAGACCTTACGATTGTCTAGTTCCAGCCCCTCACCATAGGGGCAGGGACTTATGTGAATTTATTGCTTCTGAGGCAGTCTAACTGCTACAATCAAAAAGCAGCGATCAGTGGTTTTGGGTATTTCTCTGTGGTCGTTTTAAAAGCTAATCTCAGGAGAACTGAAGGAAAATGTGTACTACAAAAGGAGAAACTTTAGAAAAAACACAACAAAGGAGAAATGGTAAAATGAAAATTCTGCAGTGCACAAGCTAAAGGAAGGGAACTGAAAAGAAACTTTCAAAAACTCAGAATCTTTGGTTACAGTAACTGCAGGGAAAATGTCACACTAGAACCATCAGACACACCTTCTCCAGAATCTTGTGTACAAAATACATGTGAAAAAAGCGCACTGGATACTTTCCAAGCTCTATTCTGTAAGTCAAGGATTGCATTCTTCCAGTTAAGGGTTTCTATGGTACTTCACAGCGTACTGCCTCAGTATCTTTAAGTCAAAACACAGAGTTATGAGTTTCTAGTATTTGATCATCAGCTGATACTGATTTATTAAGCGACCATAAAAAATACAGTATTATCAAGTATTAATCCACTGGCCTATCCAACCAGCACTGAAGAGACAGGAAAAGTTGTCTGCCTTAACTGAGAATGAGGTATAATAGCTATCCCTAGGTTAGTAAATTGTGAAAAATAATTTAAAAAAAGTACTACCTACTAAAAACTTAATGAATCATCTGACATAATGGGTGGAGGGTTGAAAATGTTTAATGAACCATTTTAATGGAATAAAAAATGTGTTTCAGTTCTCCACATGACTACAGAAACAATGATAGAAATTAGCAAAACTGGTTTTTATAACGTAAGGGTATGATTTTTCCTTACTGAGACCCAACAATACAAATGCAGGCTGCTTGCAGTGAGAGGGGAAGTTAATACACAAGAGTGGCAACTCACACAGTAACTGAAACTACAAGGTGATTGCTGTACCAAACACATAATGCGAGACTGTATTCAATCTATTCCTGTGAAACAAGTAAATACAATGCCAGCATCCAGCTGAAAGCTATCTTACTTAGCTGTTTCTGAAGTTTCCCTCAGCTCTTCATCCAGTCTGCATGAATTAAAGTTATTGATATAAAGAAACAAAGAAGCAAGCAGAGCGTGAGAGAAGCAGAGCAATAGCAGAGCAAAGAACAAATACAGTACATGCTTCTAAAATAGGCACCCAACATTACGCACTGACCCTAAATCTCAGTATGAAAAAATTTATCCCTGTGCTCAATTCCACCTTTAATTTGTAACTCCTTATTTAGCTTATTTGGAGGCAGAAATATAAAGACAGCAGGGATAGGAAGCATGCCTGGTGGACAGAGCTGAAAGCATTCAGTTGTTCTATCAGATAGTATTAAACTAGCTGCAGCCTGGGCCAAGTCAAGGACATTTACAGTTCAGTAAGTTTTATTTGCAAGGGAGGCTGATCTCAACAGCTTGAAGGGGAAAGTAAGACTCCACATCATTGCAAGTCCTCTCTCATTCAGCTGTTGAGGTTGCCTGCAGGTGAAAGGCTCTCACACAGATTCACTCCACTATGAGCAGCAGCATGGGCTAGAAAGCAAGTTTTACCTCATTCTTCTCTTAATACACCTCTCTTCATCATACCTTACAAGGTAAGAGTGGTTGAAAGAAGAGAAAAGATGTACAAATTTATATGATACAACATGCACATTGTATTCCACTTTGGTAAAAACAAATAACCACAAAACACAAATCCTGATGCAACCCTATGTACTTTCTACAGGTGGGGTTCCTCATGACCATAGGCAGTATTTTTGTTCTTGTCAAAGGAGCAATTACAAAGCTGAAAGCTGAATATTATTTTATTTTGTTACAGGGACCTTTCTCAGTTTGCAGGAGAAGTTATCAGCTGAACACTGCTATTCTCCCTGTGGCATGGGAATAACCACTCACAGTGCCGTGAATGCAAACACCCACTAAATTTTCATATCACAACATCTTGAAAATGTTTGCCACCAATGACACATTTGTCACCTTTCAATTTTTATTCAGCAAAATCATGACCTCTCATCTGGCTGCTGAAGACATAAAGTAGGCAGTTCCCTAAAATTTCTTAAGCTCTAAATCCTAAAGTTTCTTTGGTACTGGTGCTGTGATCACTTCACCTTTGGTCTGAAAGATGACTGGACTTCCCAAACAGTTTTCAGTTTACAGAGAAGAAAAGAAGTGTGTAATACAGATATGTGTACTGCTACAGAGAGTGTAACAGTAAAAAGTAAGTAGAAACAACACTGACGTCCATTACATACATTAAGGCCTGCACCAAAGGGAGCTGTAAGAAATTAAAATGTTAACAGGAATCAAAAGAGGAAAAGAGGCAAGAATGAAGGGAGGGATGGAGAATGGAAAAATCTTAGGGATGTTAAAATATTCTAGAAATCTCTTTATCAGGTGATTCCTATGGAAGAGTTAAACTTTTTCGCTATCTTCTTTCTGGATTAGCGAGGAACAGTTTGTTCCAATTTGGATTATATAGACATAGAGTTGATGAGGGACTCTGAGCCTGAAAGCTTTTCTTCATTTTGCTGGCAGTATCATTTGTTCCAGTATAAAATCTTCCTCTTTCCATAAGTGCTGGTTCCCCTAGGAGTATATATTGTGTTTTGTGTTTCCACTACAGTGTTTTCCTGCTTCTGAGTTTGACAGTGGAATTTTTGTGGAACAATACATAAGTATTTATAGCAATATCAAGAAGGGGTTTTCTGTTTTTCTATAGACTCTGAAACACTATTATTAGTTTCTGCAAATAGTTTCTATTAGAACAAGTATATGCTTATTATACATCACTTACTTGACAATACTGTCTGGTATGTGCACATATTCCATTGGAATCATCTCACGAAGCTCTGCCAATGTGTTGACATACTGTATCTTACTGCTGAACTTAGAACTGAAACATAGAAAAAACATGTTAAGTGACTTTTCTTCAAGTATCTTTTTTGATGTATTAAAAATCCATATAATTAATGTATTAAATATTTAGGCATTTTGTTACTCATATTTCAATTTTAAAGTTCAGCTGATCATGAGCATACCTGAGTTCTAGTGAGGCTAAAATCAATTGTAAAACTTTTGCTGTTCCTTGCTTAGGCTAAATCACAGTATTTAGGACAAAATTATGAACTGCAATGCCTACATACTAGGTAATGTGATTAATTCTGCAGTTCGAAGGAGATGTATTAAAATTTTGAGAAGAATCAAACCCCCTACAGCATACTTACATGTAAAAAGAGATGGGAAGCATTCACGTAATGTGGTCATAATGAATTAACATCAACTGATTGCGATGAATTAGCATTTATGTTCGACACTGGTTCTCAATCAAATACAATGAAACTGAGAATGAAGACCCTGGGCCACTGTAGGAGAGGATCTGGTTCGAGACCATCTTAAAAACCTCAACGTGCACTGGTCCATAGGACCTGATGAAATCCATCCGCGGGTCCTGAAGGAGCTGACGAATGAAGTTGCTAAGCCACTGTCCATCATATTTGAAAAATCATGGCAGCCAGGTGAAGATCCCGATGACTGGAAAAAGGGAAATATAACCCCCATTTTCAAGAAGGGGAAAATGGATGGCCCAGGGAATTACAGACCAGTCAGTCTCAACTCTGTGCCTGGCAAAATCTTGGAGGAAATTCTCCTGAAAGGCATGCTAAGGCACATGAAAAGCTACAAGGTGCTTGGTGACAGCCAGCACGGCTTCACTAAGGGGAAATCCTGCCTGACCAATTTGGTGGCCTTCTATGATGGGGCTATGGAACTGATGGACAGGGGTAGAGCAGTTGATGTCATCTAGCTGGACTTGTGCAAAGCGTTTGACACTGTCCTGCATGACATCCTTGTCTCTAAATTGGAGAGACATCGATTTGATGGATGGACCACTTGGTGGATAAAGAACTGGCTGAATGGCGGCACGCAAAGAGTTGTGGTCAATGGCTCAATGTCTGACTGGAGACCTGTAATGGGTGGTGTCCCTCAGGGATCGGTGTTGGGACCAGTCTTGTTCAACATCTTTGTAGCTGACATGGACAGTGGGATTGAGTGTGCCCTCAGCAAGTTTGACGATGACACCAAGCTGTGTGGTTCAGTTGATACGCTGGAGGAAGGAATGCCACCCAGAGGGACCCTGACACGCTTATGAGATGGGCTGATGCCAACCTTATGAAGTTTAACCAGGACAAGTGCAAGGTCCTACACCTGGGTCAGAGCAATCCCAGGCACAGCTACAGGTTGAGCAGAGAAGAGATTCAGAGCAGCCCTGTGGAGAAGGACTTGGGGGTGCTGGTCGATGAGAAAATGAACATGAGCCAGCTTCAGTGTGCACTCACAGCTCAGAAAGCCAACCGTATCCTGGGCTGCATCAAAAGGAACGTGACCAGCAGGTCGAAGGAGGTGATCCTGCCCCTCTACTCTGCTCTCATGAGACCTCACTTGGGACTATTGTGTGCAGTTCTGGTGTCCTGAACATAAAAAGGACATGGAACTGTTGGAACAAGTCCAGAGAAGGGCCACGAGAATGATCAGGGGACTGGAGCACCTCCCGTATGAAGACAGGCTGAGAAAGTTGGGGCTGCTCAGCCTGGAGAAGAGAAGGCTGCGTGGAGACCTCATAGCAGCCTTCCAGTGTCTGAAGTGGCCTATAGGGATGCTGGGGATGGACTCTTCATTAGGGACTGTAGTGATAAGACAAGGGGTAACAGGTTAAACCTTAAACAGGGGAAGTTTAGATTGGATATAAGGAGGAAGTTCTTTATTGTAAGGATGGTGAGGCACTGGAATAGGTTGCCCAGGGAAGTTGTGAATGCTCCATCCCTGGCAGTGTTCAAGGCCAGACTGGACAGATCCTTGGGTGACATGGTTTAGTGGGAGGTGTCCCTGCTCATGGCAGAGGGGTTGGAACTAGATGATCTTAAGGTCCTTTCCAATCCTAACTATTTTATGATTGTATGATTCTATGATATGTATGGTCTTACGAGAAATCCATCTTTTTCATTTGGATCATAAAGCAATTTTCCAAATTCAGCTCTGGTTGTATTTTTAGTCTTTTAATATCAATAACAGTGACATGAATGCACATTGACTGTAAAAGTTAAGTATAGGCCATAAAAACAAGAATGTGTTCTTCCTATATACTGCTGATCTGGGGTATGACCAGATCACATGAAGCCTCTGCAATAGCTCTGATCACAAGGTTACTGCCCCTTGCCTTACCATACATATTTCCCATACAAGGTAAAGTGAGACAGCTGAAATGAACACAGGAAAGTACTGCGTACAGTTACTTAAGCTTATCCATTTTGATTTGTCTCTGTAACATATTACCTTCGCTAAGCACACACACTGGAGCAAGCTTAATGGTCACCTTTTAAGATGCATGAACAACAATTGTCTCATCAAAGCCATGACAGCATACAGGTAATTCTTAGCACTTTATAAAAAACACTGATCATAGTTTGCATCATCCAAACTGCCAACTTGGCAAGCTGCAAACCAATCGGAAACTTCTAAATCAGAAAAAAAATATTAAAATATTTCAAGGGTTAATTCTTCCACTTGAGGATTTTCCTGGGTCCATTAATTCCAGCACAGTGTGGTTTCTGAGTAGTTGCTTCAGGTGTGCTGCCAATGGTGGTACGTTTTTGAGGTAGAATTGACCAGCACACTTTCAGTGACATGACTGACCCTTGCCAATCTGCTGTCTTTCAGTTTCTTGGTCCCTACGGTTTTGTCCCACATCTCAGCTGAAATGGAATTAGAATTATGTTGCTCACGTTTAGCTACCTTATTGAAATCTCTGCTTGCCTTGGGACCAGTTCATATCTTTAAAATTCCCAGTGTGCACATTAGTGGTTTGGTGAACTGCTTAGGGCTAGCAAACTAAGCTACAGCCATCAGCCTTCAATCTAATCATGTTTCCATTTTCTTACATTGCTTGTTACTGAACTGACTATCTCTTTTCATGCCTTGTGGAGTTTTTTTACTCAGCTTTCTTAGTGCTCCTCTGTCCTTGGTGAGGGTTCAAATATCTTATGTCATCTTCCACAAGAGTCACACTGGCCGTGTGTCCTGCCCACCTTTTTTCAAATCCCATTTGCACTTTGCTTTTTTATTGTACAGACTTCTTGGCTGAAAAACAGCGCATTAACTGGTCTCTAACATTTTTAGTTTTGTACTGCTGATTTGCTGTGCCAAACTATTTAGAGTGAACTTTTCTCCTGTTTGGCAATGCAAAATCTCTAGTCACTGCTGCTCAGTATAGTCACTATGAATAAATGACTAATGAACTGAAACAGATGTGGCATATTTGATTTTTTTATTTATTTTGACGTCTACCTTTCCTCTGGGAGCAAATAGGATGCCAACCGAAACACCTCAGACACCAAAAGCAACTCAGTGAATCCCCATCGTTACTGTTGACAATTCCAGGTACTGTTTTCTTGTTACTCTGGTAATTTTAATTATCACTTTCTACTTGGTGTTAAAGAGACCATGTCTAAAAGTAGAAGCTCCTTTATGACACTATGCCTGTTGCACTTTGGCAGCAATGGGAGAACTCCTGTGCTTCTGGATCCCAGTGATACCCTGTCTGGACAGAGCACCCTGCAATACACACCTCCAGCCTCCTCATCTGCAGCCTAGGGACAGACCTCTCTGAGGTATCTTATTCACCCTATGGTTCCCATAGTTGATGCTGCTTCTCTTCCCTGAAGCAACTCTTTCTCACACCTGTGAGTCTGCTCCTGCCTATTTCAGGATTTCAACTGCATACTTGCGCATCATCTTCAACAACTTCTAAGATCTTCTGGGTCTGTAACATTTCTTTGTTTTTTTACTAATCAAAGCATTGTTCTTGGTGGCATTAAACCTTTTTTTTTCAAGCCAGAATTCCTTTGCATTCAAGCAGCTCAGGGTGCTGGCAGTCCTCTTGTATAAGCAGCAACTACCTTTCCAAACCCAGAATTGTACCTTAGTCTAGTCCAGTAGCCAGGATTTTTTTTTTAATGAGGTAACCATAGTTACATACAGATCCCTCTTCTACATGTCTTTTAGCTGGGCTTGGAACAAAGGCAACTTTAAGGGACTGAATGCCATGTTCTGCATAAATATAGAGGTTTAATATATTTTAATATTTTATATAGTTTGTCTTTAATAGTTTTCAGTTGGTTTAATAGTTGCAGACTATAATGCCTGCAAGTAACTACTCGTATAAATAACTTTTGGGTTGGGTTTTTTTTCATTTAAGACAGTCAACTTCAACTGCAAAAATGCCAACATGAACTGGAAAATGAGTATTCTTCAGTGACAGATTAACAGGTATGTCTGATGATTTAGGGTGTTTCTATATTCTCAGGGACACAGAAAATCACTGTATATATTACGTACCTTATAAAAGGTCTTGTCACAGCCAGAATTGTCCTGATAAACCATGATGGATGAACAATTATAAATGATTTCAAATTCTTCCGTAACCTAAATAAAAAATAAATTTGTTTTTGTTTTTTAAATCCATACAAAATCCGGGAAGATCATATACAGTGAACACTGTCCTAGAAATGAGTAACAGAAATTGACAGCGTTTACAATAATGCCGATCAGAAAGGAAAATACTACTCACCGTCGATCAATCATCTGGTAACATCTTTTCATCCAGCCCAGTCCAGGCATCCTGCTTCTTGGTGTTGCTCCATTCAAGTAGACAATCATATAGTCTTCAGCTACCATGAGCTCTAAGGTACTGATTACATAGCTGATGAAAGTACAGGAGTAAGTGAGCATATATATATTGTACATTATCCACTTAAGCCCCAACTAAATCAGTCTGCTACGAATAAGTTAAGGCAGACTAAGCAGTTTATGACAAGATAGCATTTACTTTTCCTTTAAACCAAAGCAAACATTTAGCACTGGTTACCATGCGACCTGTAGATGTATAATTAGAAAACCACAACCTTATCTGCATCTTCAGAAATCTGGAGTTTCCTTACACAGGCGGAGTTTCATAGTAAGTTTTCAAATCTCACAGGTGACTTTGCTTTTTCTTAATAGGGTATTAAATCATGAGAGATTTAAGGAGAGTGTGGCAGGACTATGCAAAGTTCCATGAACTTCTGAAATTAATTGTTGAGAAACTTCACTATTACCCATAGAACTACAAAACCCTGAAATGGTTTGGGTTGGAAGGGACCTTAAAGGTCGTCTACGTGCAATCCCCTGCCACAGGCAGGGACACCTCCACTAGACCAGGTTGCTCCAAGCCTCATCCAACCTGGCCTTGAACAATTCCAGGGATGGGGCAGCCACAACTTCTCTGGGCAACCTGTGCCAGTGCCTCACCACTCCCACAGTAAAGAACATAACAACAACAACAATAATAAAAATGTTTGTTCAGTGAAAAAGTAAGGGTGAGGAGAAGATATTTATGTTTCCTATGATCCACACGCTAGTGCTACTGAGACTCTGAGTGACAACTACGAATACTTTGAATCTCAAGGCTAATAAAACTTGTCCATCAACCTGCCTTCTGATGTGACAGAGTAATCACTCCATGACCACTTCATTTTGTGGGCAAAACACTCCAAACACTCATTAAACTCCTCAGCCCAGGAACAGTAATTCATACAGAACAGTGCTCTTGACTCTCCTAGAAGAGCACAGTACTTAGTCAAATGAAAGGGTAGTTTTAAATTCTTGTCCAGGACTATATATGCAGATGGCCCACTCAGTAGTCCCAACCTCATTTGGGAGTTATCACAGGTATGTTCAAATTGTTCTCTGTCCTATCCAACCCCAAGGCAAGTCTATGTAAAAACTACAGTGAAAAATCAGGGGTCACACCTTAAAAATCTGAATGCTGGAGTGTGCTTAATAAAAAAGGTAGCTCTATTCCCTAAGCATAATGGTCCCTTTCACAGGTGTATGGGAATGACTCATAGTCTAATCTGACACTTAAATTCCACAAGATGCAGTTTCTTTAAAAGAAGTCTCAGAGGAGACCTTATAACAGTCTTCCAGTACCTAAAGGGGGACTACAGGTAATCTGGAGAGGGGCTTTTTACAAGGGTATGCAGGGGCAAGACAAGGTGTAATGGCTTTAAATGGAAAGAGGAGAGATTTAGTTAAGATATTAGGATGGAGTTCTTCCCTGTGAGGGTGGTGAGGCACTGGAACAGACTGGCCAGAGAAGCTGAGGCTGCTCCATCCCTGGAAGTGCTCAAGGCCAGGCTGGACGAGGCTTAGAGAAATAAGGTCTAGTGGAAGATGACCCTACCCATGGCAGGGGGGCTGGAGATGATCTTAAGGTCCCTTCCAACCCAAACCATTCTATGCTTCTGTGATTCTGTGAATAGTATGAAATCTGTTTCTCACCAACAAGAGTGATACTTAACCTGCACATAAAGCAGGCAGCCATTAACTGGCTAGTTCCACGCATTTGATAAATCCCATCTAAATAACTATTCAATTCTTCTCACTGCTCTCTTTCTCATCTTGCAGTTTGTGCATTTGCTGCCTTTGCGTGCACCTGTAAAAGCTCGTGTCTAATGGTGAAATATCAAAGCGGGGGACATATGGCTGTCCTGATGGAAAAAGCCTGATTTAACTGAACCTACTGGTTATTTGACGGATTATGAAATCAGCCCTTCCACATAAACATCTAGTGCTTTAAAGACATTTAGACACTGAAACATACAGAAAAGTGTGTATAAGTATTTCTCAAAACACTACAAGACTTTCAGTTATAGAAACAGTCTGAAAATATCTGTTTGGCCTAGGTCCAAAGGGAGTTCCAAATAGTATGAACAATCAGTTATAGTAAGAACAATCACGCCTACTGTTCATCAGGTATAAGAGGAGTATTACAAAAACAAATCTCTGCTATTTTTTAGTGAGATCTCACTTATCTCACACGCTTTCATTCAGCAGCTCTTATTCACTGTGGGATGAATTAGACCAGCTTCCATTTTAGGCACGCTGAACTCTCTTGAAAACCTTACCTAACTGGTAATTTTCTATTATCTGGTAATGAAGGTGACTTCTTCATTATTTGAAAAGATGGGCAGACTTTTTGTTATTTACTAGAACAATTCACTCACTCTGAAAGCAAAAAGTGCTGGGTTTGATTTTCAAAGTACAGTCTTTCAAGTTGCAAAAGATTTAAATCTCTAGACTGTATCAGGCAGCCACAAACGAAACAGCAGAATGTTCTGAGTAGTTCTGCATCATCTGCAAGTGCTGTAGAAGACGATGTCTTAAGAGTTTTGTCTCAAACCCAACTTTTCAAAGACAGTTTTATAGGATTAGGGAAGGTAACGAATAGGAACAAGGTAACTGGAAATGCAGGGAAACCAGAAGGGACAGTAAATGCAAAACTGAGGAACAACTGAAAACACTTGTTAATCAGAACTAGAGGTGTCATACATACTGCAAGTGCATGATTACCTATTGGAAATATGCTGTATAAAAATTGGGAAGAGATTTAATGATTTGCAGGTTCCTCCAGACCCGTATATAATTCAATAGTAAAAAATTCTCAAATATTTAAATATCTAAGTTGTTAGGTATGTTGTGAACTGTCGTACTCCCTCTATTTCAATGCAATTCACTGACCTGCAACTGAAAGAAAGGGGTGATCTGGCTTTCCCTTTTGTCTTACAGAGAACTAACACTCTATAAACCTTAAAATAAGCTGAAGGTTCACAGCCAACCTGAACTCTCTCTTATACTGCTACACCGGAAAAAGACAGTAAGTTATGAAGTTGTCTTTGGCAATGTCCTCAAGTGATGTGGAAAAGCCTCTTAAGACTTGAAAAGGCTCTCTCTGCGAAGTCCATTTACCATTTGCTTTATCTATGGACAAGGGTCTTGGGTGAAGTCAAAGAAAACCATTAAATGTCAGTCACAGATACTCTCAGCTTTGTTCCTAGCTATAAAGTTAAAGCCACTATAGCAACTCCTCCCCTCTGAATCACTGGGTACTGTGTAAATCAATTACTGTGGATGACACTGGGCTCTTAAAAGGCTTCACCAGACAAACGCCGGCAGTTGGTCTGACTTGGAACTAAAGCACTCTAATTTTTCATATGTAGGCACAATGTTCAAGGCATTGACTGTAACCATGCACCTTCAAGAAGTGGAGTTTTACAGAGACTGGGCCTGTGCTCTTGGTGAGCTGCAAATGGTGAAAGCTAGGCCTCTGCTGGCTTTAGAAATGACTGACTGGATTTTAGCATAGAAAATGCTGGAATGATTGATTTTTTAACAGCTGTGAGTGCAAATAGCTGGAGGCACTTCAGGGGAGTACTGCCTACACAATTTCTGGCTGTCAAAACAAGTTGCTATTAGCTGTAATTTTGCTGTCATAAATTCAGGTTCATGTGGCCAAATCTGTGTACCACTCAACTGGCCTCTGACACTTTTAAGTGAACCAGAAGCAGCTGGAGTCAGGAAAAATACTTAGAGCTGTTTGTGTCAGCAATTACAATTTATTCTGTATTTTTGAAACGAGTGTCACAAAATGGTCCTGTGACTCCTAAAGACAGCTACAACATATACTAAAATATTATATACAGTGATAATGTACATATATGATAATATATAATAAACAGTGAAAACCATTCTGGTGGCCTAAGAACCTGCTGACTGTTATAAAGGGCTGGAAATCACTAGTGAAACAGTGCAATGATTGTAGGCCTAAGAAGCTGAAGATACTGCATTCCTTGACATTTAGGGAGATACTGCAGTCAGATTTGGTCCTGACACATATGCCTTTATTTGGGATGGTGAGTAAGTAAAGAATACTAAAATAATACTGTATTGAGCAGTTTATCTAAAACTGCTATTATTCTTGTCATTCAGATGATTCCACTTCCAATGATCAAAATTACCTCTGAATTAAAGACAGGTTATCTCTCACTACATAATTATGAGTACTAACTCAAAAGACTCTGTGACATTGCTCACGTATCACTCACAGGAAAAGATTTTCCATGACATAGTTGTAATCAGTTCGACTGCTGTCTGGCAAGAAGCATGCTGCAAACACAATGATAGCATTCAGACCATCACCATAGTATCCTGTGGAAAAAAAAGGAAAAGGCATTTTTGTCTTTGTTAAAGGCTCTTAACAAGATAAACGTAAAAAGGAATCTCAAAGTTCTGGAATAGAACTACTATGTCTACTACTGAAGGAGACAAAAAATGTATGAAATATCATCAAGTGATAAGCAAGTAAAATAGTCAGTTATGTTGAATTCTTGAAAAAAACACTTAGAACAAGTATCAGTAAACTTTTTACAGAGACCAGCAAAAAAGCCTTGTAAGTAATACAATCTTATCTGAACTCCTGGTTCACTGCATCTCTGGGGCAATCATGAGCTGAATGCTCACCTTAGAGTGAGTAACAAGGGGCTAAGGAAAATATTATACATTTGTTACCCTGCATCTTCTGAATTAAGTTTCTTAAAAGTCTCACAATCCAAACTCAGTTGGCTTGCACAGCTGCAATTATCTCAGGATATTACAGTTATGACTGCACTCCACTATATCTTAAAAACTCCTGGGGATCAGCTAAATAACTTGCTGCAAGTTCAGTATAAAATACCTTTTCACCTCGGACACTCCAGTTGTCCAATACTGGCATTCACTGGACTGCACCACTGCTTAATGATGGCTGTAAACTCTCAAAGCTGCAGCACTTCTGTTCTGGGGTCCAGGGCAGTTGCCTGTTACCCCCCAAAAAATTTTCTTTTTTTTTTTAAATGATGGATTAATGCTGGCTGATCTTCTCCACAATCCTTTGCAGCTGTTACAGACTTCTGTATTATTAATAATAAATACAACTGCATAATAACAAACAGAATCATAGAATAGTTAGGATTGGAAAGGACCTTAAGATCATCAACTTCCAACTGCCCTGCCATGGGCAGGGACACCTTCCACTAAACCATGTCACCTAAGGCTCTGTTCAACCTGGCCTTGAACATTGCCAGGGTTGAAGCACTCACAACTTCCTTGGGCAAACGATTCCAGTGCCTCACCACCCTTAAATAAATAAAACTTCATTTCAGTTTTGTTTAATATATACATACAATCAGGAGACAATTTACAAAGATGCTGTAGAAATGGTTGTCGGTAGATAGCACTAATGCCATACAGAGATAGAAGCTGGATGTACTTAGAGAATGTACTGAAAGCCTTTCAAAAGAGGCTATGAGAAACTATGAGTGAGAGATCATAGTGCTTGTGAAGGAAAACCTGAGTCTCCCTCAAAGATGGGAACACATTCCTGACAAATAAAGGATAACACTGGCACTTATGCAACATTTTCATGAGGGGATTTTAAGACTTACAGTGCTTTTTGGATACCAGACAGCAGTATCCAACCCTCAAATGCTCTTGCATTGTGGCCAGACAAGCAACGCAAATTCTGCATTGGAAAGAAGCAAATAACACAGAATCTACATGTGCCAATCAGGGAAGAGTGAGAGAGGGTTTTTTTTCTCAACTAGCTGAAACAAGGAGATGATGTTTATGTCAAGGAAATAATTTCTTACATGGCTTTGTAGAGACCTTCAAAGAATCTAGTATGTCTGACAAAATGAGTGCTTCAAAGCACTTGCCCATGAGGCCCTCCATGCCAAGGAGAACCACAGCTGATTAATCTGAACCCTATCACCAGTCATAAGGACATGCATACAAGCGCATTCCATTTAGGGCTCTCAGCTGTTCCTTAAAGACAGAAAAACACTACTGCTTCCTGACTTACAAAGGGGAGCAAAAGAAGGGTAAGATTCTCAAAGAAAAATGTACACGTCAGAAGCAAGCCTCCTGCCTCAAGCCATATTGTTTCAAATCAAGCCTTGGCAAAGCAACCTGCTTAAGTTGTTATGTTGGATTTATTTCTTTCTGAGTTCAATTTGGTAGGTATATTGCATTGGATAAGATAATAATACATACTGTTGTTGGTAACACCAACATTGAGTTGAGAATGCTAGCTAGCCTACACCTCATCCACTGAAGAATCACTGCAGGAATCACCACTGCAGGAATCACCACTGCAGAAAGCTTTCTGTCCTTAGTCTTAAGTCCACTCTTCTATGAATTTGGCATCGCCTGTCTTCCTGGCATTGTGAAATAGCTTTCTTTTCTGCCTCCAAGAGGCCAAAGGCCAGCTAGTTTATAACTGGGCTTCCAGAGCCAGAGAAGCCACTCGCCACTATAATGGCAGCCCAGCATACGCCCGCTGTCTTCTCCAGTCCCACAGTGCAGTGTTTCTCTCTATCCTGTTGGAGGACATAGGTGAGCAGGAGAGCTAAGGATGACGGTTTGAGTTCAAGCCAAAGAGCAGTGTGGATATCCCACTTTAATCCATGCGACATAGTGTGTATGCCACAGCTCCAGCTCATGTTAGGATCCATGAACATCCTATCTACAGATACAGATACAGTTGAATGAATTAGTTGTCCCAGGGAAGATGTCAAGATCAAATTCAAAGAGTAGCATTGCGTTGTCTAGCAAGGATGTACACAGGTAGGCAGAAGAAACTCCAGTCCTGCTTTCAGCATCCTCAACTTTTAAGACATGAAAGAGTATAATAGTCTTTTCAAAAGAAAAGAACTCCACTTCCCACACTCATCCTTAATACTACTAGCTGTTATGTTTCCATTTTCTCAACAGACCTACGTACTTTCAAAGAGACAGTACTCATTTCACCTATCTCATCCTAGATCAGCTCAACTAAATTATGCAACAAAGCAGTATTTCCCCCCCCCCCTCAGCTTTACGAACAGAGAGGAGATCTCCTCCCTTGCATTAGTTTAAAAATTCTTGAAAGACTTTCGGGACAATTTATATTATACCACATAAAGCAATCTGTCCAGCTGGCTCAAGATTTTGGCAACGAGAGCACATTGTGGCAGGTGTGTTCACTAGATTACACAGCACAGTTTGCAGTTCATGTAAAGCAAAATGATTATGTGCAGATGCCACCTAACAACACACAGAAGAAAAACCCACAGATAAATCTAAGCCACTTTTTCTTATGCATGCTCATAGACAAAGAATGTTCACCCAAGGGAGAAGTGCTTTTTAATTCATCACTAGATGCCAGAAAAAGCCATTTGCCCAAATTCGCAGTCAGCCTATGCAACGAGACAGATCCCTAAGAAATTTATCTGTTAACATATATGGAAGGCAATCTCACACTTAGACTGCCAATTCTACTCTCCTTTTTCCTATTTTGTGGCTACAATCTAGATTCTGCATTTGGTGTTCTCTATCATTTGGCAGGGAGGAATGTTTAGTAGATCACTGAATCATCAAGACATGCTTGGCCTGATTTCCAATTGACTAATTTTAACCAGAATCTGTTCTTAATCTTGAGATAAAAGGAAATTTTCCTGGCTTTCTAAAGCACTCCAAAGACACTAAAGTATTGCCATCACATGGAACGTCATACGGAATAGGCCTAGCCACCATCATGTAGAAATTGTACAAGCTGTCCAAAGATTTCCCATGAGCCATGCATCAAGATTATTTTGTTTCCTCATCTTCAGTCTCCCACTTCATAAACACAGTATTTAATCCAGTCCTTAACCTGCCTTCATATGGCTAGATTTCAAGCAAAATTTCCAATTTAGTCAGTGGTGTAAATTATTATATCTCACACTATTTCTTTTACAATGGCTATGTTACTGACCAGTAACTAAGTTGTTACTGACGCATTCAAAAGGTAAGCAAATGTAATGTTTTTATCTTAGAGTGATCAAACAATGTCAGCCATGTAGAATTTGAATCCTGATTATTTCACACTGATAGCTGAGCTCAATGACCTTGATTCCCATCCATAAGGTGTGCATTATTATGTACTTCATAGCTGCCATCAGAGTTGTCTGCCACTGGAAGTATCCCCTCTCTACTCAACAGTAAAGCTCAAGCAGTGCTCAATTAAGAGCTACTTCTCCACTCACTAAAATGGACTGGTATTTATTTTTCATAAAAGCTAGTAGAATTGTATACATCAGCATCTAGTAGAACTGTACATGACAGTTTTCACCACAAATGTACCTATTAGATTACAGCATACAAAAACATATAAATAAACACCATTAGCAAGGCCTCAAAATATTTTACGTTTGTTTCCTAAATTATGCCATCTGTGTCTGTTTGCTAAACTGTGTCTGAGGTGTCATCACATTCATAAATCTTAGTTGGTGTTGTTACAATAGGAAAATGCTTGGAGGTTTAAATGTCTTTATTAATTCAGACTATACCTTCTGCACACTGGCCACTGTGAACATATGTAGGCTAGCATTTAGCTGCTTTTAATGTAAATGTGTGATTTTGAGGACCACATCCTCAGGTAATATGATTAACCACAATTTATTTATGTCACTTTTATTGGATAGGGGTTCCACACTGAGAATGTACTGAAAACAATGTTTTACCTTTACATGATGTTATGGATCAGCAACACTGTAACAGAAGCATCCTCATATAAACTCATAAATTTTATCTCTTGAGATGCTAAGTTACTTGCATCAGTTTTTGCAGGAATAGAAGAACTATGTAGAACCCAAATATAATCTAAACTTGAGACACCAAGGAAAAGGCACTTAGCAGGAGTTAGAAAGATTTGTTTCATATTCTTCCTTCAATAGCTGTAGTAATATTTAACCATTTGAATTCATTTATCCAGAAGTGTGCTAGTAACACTAGAACTACAAATTCTCTGAGGAGGTTAGGGAGCAGATGAGCAAAGAAGGCTATATAGCAAGCACTTGAGGTAATTCTCCTACTTTAAATGTTTGATATGCTAGTTGAAACCATTAACAAATTACATAAAAAAACAAAACCAAACAACCAACAACCCCAAAACAACAGTTGCTGGTGAAATGCTATCTGCTGACAACTATAAATGGCAGAAAAATAACATTAAGGAGCTTAGCCAGACAATGGAAGCCCCAGGGAAAATTGCTTTTTTTCTCTTTTGCCACTCTACTTGTTTAGATCTGTGCACCCACATACATCATTCAGCAAATCACAGGGAACTTCTTCATGCGAAAGTGTCTGCCAAAATCCACAGACTGAAGTTTTAATTTCTTTTTCCGTGCAAAAGTTTTTTCCCTTGTTCTAAGACAGTTTTAGCCTACAATGACCAGACTGGTAGTAATACATATATGTCAGATTATTTGTTGCTCCTGAAATTGCTTTATATTTAAAATACTCATTAGTCTTTGCTAAACTGAATTGAAAGCTGGCTTGATTTCAGCCATAGCTGAAAAAAAACAGTTCTCTCTCCCTTTACCTGTATGATAGCTGAACTAAAATAGAAATAAATCATACTCAATAAAGTATTATTTTTTAACATCAATCTAAATAATGCATTCAGGATTTTCCTACCTCCATGTGAAATGACCTTTTTGTAAGGTTCAATCACTTTCATATCAATTCTTTGTTCTTGCTCTCCAATAACCACTGTTCTCCACAACCTGTTATCCTCTCGCTCTTCTTCAGCAGTGTACTCTGGAATTGACTCAGACTCCTCCTGGGAAGCATTCTTAGTAGCTGTCTGCTCTTCTGAAAAATAAAAATTTATGTATTACATTTTACTGTAAAAGATCTAAATATTTTCTTTGTTTTATACATTTGAAATAGATGACTGAAATCAACTGGACTTTTACAGCAATGATATAAATAAATGCAGAATTTGGTTATATTACAGTCAGTAAATGAAAATTTCCAATTTTTAGAAATTTTTCATTATTATGAACACAAAAAGAACAGCAGCAATTATCATCATGCAGAATACCTCCACAAGATATTTGCATCCAGTTAGTAAAAATGATCAGCTGCTCACTAGAGGTACTGCACTGCAGGTATTTCAAAATCTTTGTGTGGCAGGCATGAGAACTATGGTAGAAAGCAAAATAGGGAAGTGAACATAGCAATGCTTCTTGTCTACAGAATAAATTACCACAGAGCTAGATTCTCAACTTTTTCCCAGTTTGCCTCCAATCTCTTCACATCTGGCACGAGCAAACATGGAGAATGCACGTCTTTCTCTCCTTCAGTCATAAGATAATGTTTACTCCTCACAAAATAAGCACAGTATTTGCCTTCCCCAGGACCTTTTGCTTGAGGTTAAGGCCCATTTCTCTCCCAGATGTGAAGTACAGAGCAGCCAGACAATCTGGCCTACTTATACCAACACGCGTGAAAGAATAGATGTATGTAGTCCACAGATAAAATGATTACAATAAAAAAGCTGCATGGCTGACAAGAGACTATGAAGTCTCTTAGCACATCCTCTCTGCTGAATACTCTTTTTTTCAGAAAAGCTGTGAAGTAATTAACAAAACCTACATTTCCATTGCACATTGATAAGATGGCTCTTACCAACAAGCTGAATTGCATTCCAGTTTTTCAAACTTAATGGCTGGTTACAGAGAAACTGACATGAAAAGTGGAGTTATTTGATTTCCTTCTTTAGTTATTGTTACAACATACTTTTTTAATGTGTGTGTGTGTGTGAATTTGCTTTTTACACTATTCTTGCTGAAGCAACTTTGCCTTGTGGCTGTGTTCATATTATTAATTTATCTTCATAGTAAAGATTTTGTACATTTTATACATTACATATATTCGAAGTAAATATATAAAAATCAACAGGGTTTTTTTAAGTATAATTCTGGCTCTGCAGTCGTAAGTAAGAGCAGAACTTGATCATGTAAGTCAACAGTGAGGTAACAGTATGTAAAGATATAGTGAGATATATAATGAAATACATGTGTATACATAAAAAGCTGATCAGACATCTTATTTGAAAATACCAAAGATCTATGAGAGTTCAGAAGTAACTAAGAGAAGTTATTTTATTTGACAAGAAGAACACAATGTTTCATGGAAGCCCTCAAATTTTTCTATGCACTGATTTATTTTCAGGTGCCTCTCTGATTAATGCTGCTTCTTAAACTACTCACACAAATTGAAGTATATGATTCTTAACACACACCGGTTTATCATAAGAGTGAAACTATTTATGAAATCAGGAATAAGACAGTATACTGTGAATATACATCTAGGCACACAGAACCTATGGGCGCATACATGTACGTGTAGTGACAGTTTTCACTGATAAAACATGATGTTTTTCCTTTTCTGCTCTCTGCACCTGGCTCATCTAAGTGAAGGACTTAGATGTCCTCCTTAATTTTACCTATTAAGTATGTCTAAAATCAAGCTGCACAGCTGTCAAAATGTCACCAAACCACAGGAACCTTGCGTTCTCAGGACTTAGTTATTGGAGGAAAATGGTTCAATCTTAGTAATTGAACAAACCATCACATTTAGAAAGAAGCAAAAAAGCAGACAAATAATGCTTGCCATACAAATAATGCTTGCCACCAAAATCACTGGAGTTGAATTTATTTACTTGAGGGCTTAAAAGGCACAATTTGTTCCACTGCAGACAGAGATTTTTGCTCTCAGAGAGTGGTCACAACAGCCTGAAAACTGCAAGCTCACTGCTCCTCTGTGTGTGTACGTGTTAGTTTTAACCTTTGCCACAAAATATTCTAACCACCAAGCAACTCATCCCTATGCTCTGCATCTACCATAAGGAAATCAGCTTTCTAATGAGAAATGACATTAGAGACTCTCATGCATGACTGAATACACAGCAATGCCTCTTTGGCAATATCACTCAAACTGATGCAACTGTTCTTGTATGCTCCAAAGAGCATACAATTTTTAAATTATAGTGATCTCAGTACCAATAGAGAACTTAAATGCAAGGGAAAATTTAGTTCAAATGGATCCATTTTAAAAGTTTCTTTCTGTTGTAGATTGCAAAATGATCACACTCATTTTCCCCTGAAATAGCTTATGATCTTTACATTATGCCATTAGTGAGTACAGTTCATACAGCTCTTAAGGTACTAGCAGAGAATGAGTGTGAACACTCTCATACATCATGAGTCTAAGTGAGTAAGACAGTAAAACACTTCTACACCCCATGACAGAAAATCATTAGTATTGAAGGACGACTGAACTATCCATTGCACACTTCAGGGTGCATCTATACTGTACAACTAGCCCTGCTGAGAAATTGGTGGAATGAAGAATTCTGTTGTTCCATCACCAGATCTAGTTTTATCATGCTATGCACACACCTTCCATGCCTGAGCTTTCCAATCATACATAGGAATAGGTAAAGACCTTTCTCACTAACAAAAAAACTGCCTCACCACACTGTGATTGTTCCCTACAATAGACAGCAACTGCTTTCTCCTTCCTGAACAACTCTCTTCAGATAAGTCCTATGGTACTGAACAAAGACAAAACTTTGAATCTGAGTCTCTCTAGGTAGCTTTATTTATTTTATTTGATCAGCTGTTCTACGTTTTCCTACACTCCACATAAGTAGAAATGTATTATTTTACACAGCGGAAGAGACATTAAAAAACAGCAGACAATAATAATATCTGGACACCTAGCATTAACTTTCAGATGTTTTAACCATATTCATAGCCTGACAGACATGAGACTGATCATGTAAGCAGGAAAGAAAGAAATGAAATCTGCATGTACAATCTAGAACATTACCTTGTCCAGGGTATTCAAAAGAGTCTGCTTCATCAGGAGTGTCAAGGTCATCTACGTTGATGTCAATTTCATCCGGCGTATCCAAATTATCATCAGAAAGTACAGATCCTTCGCTCTGGTCCAAAGAGAGATTGATATTTGGAGCAGTGAGCTTTATCCTTCTGGGATGGGAACCGTTTAGATCAAGAGAATTGGGAGGTTCTGAAGAAAGAGGAGGAAAAAAAGGACTTTATTTCCTCCATGTACAATTAATTTCCCACATACTTAAGAATCACCTTCAAACATTCCGGGACAGATTAATTTTAGTAAAACCAAGCCATTTAAGACCACCTAATGTAACCCAGAAATATCAACACTAATGTTTAGAGAAATAAAAAAAGCACCTACAGGAATGTAGCTGGCAGTTCTTAAATTACGCAAAATCCAGATTCCCTTTTTTGCAATCATCAGATGAAAATCAAGCCTTGGACATGTTGTGACAATGTTTAAGAACTTAAAGAGCAATATACAAATCATTAGAGTTATGAAGCAAGACACTGTTGACTGCTGGAAAAAAATGTATGTGAAAACCCTCTATAAATATTTGTTTTCTTATACATTTGGTGCTATTCAAACAGTGCTGATTTTCAAGTAGCTGTTGTCTTCAGTCTGAACTATAAAATATCTAATTCAATACAGTAACAGAATTAAAAATACCTCTGAGTGTCTTAATCAGTCTTAAAAAGTCTTCAACAAGACAAAAGCTACGTATGGCTTTGCCACTTGCTCCTGCATCATGTGGCACATTACAAGCTATTCTGTCTCAAGTATTCTAATGCTGACTTAGTGTACTTAGACTGCAGTCAAAACTAGAATAAATAACAGAGGCTACTTAAACATCACAACTAAACGAATCATGACAATGCACAAGACAAAATGGCACACTACAATTATAATTTCTAGAGTGAAGAAAAAAACTGACAAAATACAGTGAACCTAATATTTTTTCTTGTAAACACCAAAATGATTCTTTATCAGCACAGAAACATCTTTCTCGCTGTATAATTAAACGCTAAGGGAGTAAGATATAATTAGGAACATTAGTAAGAACCTCTCTCACCAGGCCTCATCTCTGTAGAACTCGGGCTTAGTACACCCTCAGCAAAAGGGATGTCCATTCCCACATCCTCTTGTACCAACCTGAGAGGTAAAATACAAAGCACAGTCTTAGAGAGATGCACAGGCTGACATTGTTATCAGTATAGCCCATGTGTATAGCTCATACAGAACCAAGATTTTCCTCAACAATGCCAGTTCAGAAGTCTGTCCACAACTTGAGGTGAGAAACAAACACAACTGTTGCAATTTCTGCTGTGCTATTCTCTACCCCTTACTTATGCAAATATCTGTAGAGCCTCTGAAGAATACTGAAACATGAGCTGGCTTCAGTGTGCACTTACAGCCCAGAAAGCCAACCGTATCCTGGGCTGCATCAAAAGGAGGGTGACCAGCACATTGAAGGAGGTGATCCTGCCCCTCTACTCTGCTCTTCTGAGACCTCACTTGGAGTATTGTGTGCAGTTCTGGTGTCCTCAAGATAAGAAGGACATGGAACTGTTGGAACAAATCCAGAGGAGGGCCACGAGAATGATCAGGGGGCTGGAGCACCTCCCATATGAAGACAGGCTGAGAAAGTTGGGGCTGCTCAGCCTGGAGAAGGCTGCATGGAGACCTCATAGCAGCCTTCCAGTATCTGCAGGGGGCATATAGGGATGCTGGAGATGGACTCTTCATTAGGGACTGTAGTGGTAGGACAAGGGGTAACGGGTTAAAACCTAAACAGGTGAAGTTTAGACTGGATATAGGGAAGAAGTTCTTTACTGTAAGGGTAGTGAGGCATGAGGAATGGGTTGCCAAAGGAAGCTGTGACTGCTCCATCCCTTGCAGTGTTCAAGGCCAGGTTGGACGAGGCCTCGGGTAATATGGTTTAAAGCAAGGTGTCCCTGCCCATGGCAGGGGGGTTGTAACTTGATGATCTTAATGTTCTTTCCAACCCTAACTATTCTATGATTCTACGATTACAGGTCACACATAGCCACTTTCACACAACCAAGACATAGCTCCCAATAATTACAGGCTGGCAAACAGCAATGTTTCTCGTTTTATACAAATGGCCTTTCATCATCAGGCAAACCAGACACATCACTGCAGGGAGCTTCAGCAACTTTTTGCAAACTGCATGCCAAAGTTAAGAGTCCCACAGCAGTATCTTCATTGCTGTACATTCAGCTACTGTATAGCAAAATGAGATCTTGAGTGTGTTTTTTCAGTCTTTTGATATCATTTGTACTTTAGTGTGATTCTGACCCAAATCAGTCATTTTCTAATACTGATACAGCTAATGTCCTGCATTGAAAGCGTACAGACAACAAAAGTGAGAACCAAAAATTACATCACAGATTTTCAAGACTAAAATGTTGCAAAATATCCTATGTGGACTCTATTTTAAGGAAGATGCTAAGGGATTACACTTACCATACCTACACAAGACAATTAAAAGGCATTAAGTATGGAAATAGTATTAAGGGTGGTTTAAAACAAATTGACCTGAACTGTTTTCATTTCTATTTTCTATTCAAGTATTTTAAAAAATGCTTGCTGGAAGGATGGCTCTAGTGAAGATATGAAACATTTTACCATTTTCAGGACACTCTTGACAGCTTCCCATCTATTTGCACTAAACACGTATGAATCAAAAAACTCTTCATTTATTTTATCAAAATAATTATAGCAATTTTTCTATATTCCTGTTTCAAAGTATTTTTAATACCCCCCCCTTTTTTTCCCCTACAAAAGCTTAAGAACAGATAATTATTACATTTTGATTAACAGATCTGTGATGAGATCAAAGAAGGTACTTTTCCCTGCCACAACATCAGCTATCTCTGCTCTGAATGGATCTGGATAGGCTTTGGTTGTTGTTCCTGCAGTTTCTTCCTACCCTTGCTTTCCCCATGACAGCTACCCTCATTATTTTACTGTGTGTAGACAAGACTCTTCTGGCCAATCATCACATCAGAGTATAACTCCTGTGATTTCTTGTTCATTTCATATAGATTACATATAAATGTGTACATGTGGGCCTGTCTGTGATCCAAAGGCTTCACTATGCTTAATGTTACAAAAGATCTTTATCTCAAGCCCTATACCATTGAATTCCCAATACAGACAGGCAAACTAGTGAGCTCCCACTTTTCCTGTAAGGCCATAGAGAATACAGACAACACAAAGCTAGGGTCAAACATATTTCTGATATTCAACTCAAGGCCAGGCCTTGTCTCTCAGTAAAGCAGACACATATTAATCTTGCTAATTTTACTAGCTTTATCCCCACATACTGAAGAGTGCATCTTTCACAAACAAAAGATTAACTTCTAGTTCACAAATAAAAGATTAATTGCTTAATGATTTTTACAAAACACACCAATTCCGGAATATGTTTAATTACTGTCAACTAAGCCTTGAAATATTGTTTCTTTTTGGATACACAATGGAACAGTGAGAAATTTGATCAAAGTATCCTGCTCCTGAATAAAATGAATGGCACAAATTGTACTATTTCCTTTTCTTCTGCTCTGTAGCATGATCTGTGTTCAGAAGCTGTACAGAAAATTGATACAGAAAATACCATCAGAATTTACTTAGAAAATGTAAATAGGTCATTAGAGTCTGGCTTTTGTTGGTGTCTTTTCAATTCATAGTAAAATATGCATAGCAAAATATGTTATGGAGTCTAATTTATTAATCTGGATTTAACAGAGACAGATCTGAATTCTAATGAAGCACTGTAGGTAACAGCCAGATAAGGTAAGAAACCATAGTGGTGGAAACAATGTGGAGAAAAGACGAATACTTCAAATCCTTTTTAAATTCAGATTAAAATTATATTTGAAGCTTTATGAACCTTTCCAAATATAAAACAATGGAAAATTCTAGGATTAAAGCAGCTCAGTACTAGTCTGATGATGACTTATGAGTACCCAGGGGTATATAGTTTGGCTGGACATAACAGGATTTTGATACTACCATATAAACATATGCACACTTACAAAATAACTTATGGCCTTATCACACAAAATTCCTTACTGAACAGGCTGCAGAAATAATCCAGGAAATTATTTGAAAGGAAATACTCTTTTTTCAAGTTGTGTGAAGAGTAAGCTACTGAAGATAGGGAATTTTCAGGTTTTCTATATTAAAAAAAGACAATCTTCTCTGTAGTGAGCCTTGTAAAAAATGTTTGAGCAGAATGACAATCATCCTCTCTGTATTATAAGAGCATGACTGGATTTTCTATGGTCTATCCTTATGGAAACAGTGACAATTATAATCTGAAAAGAGCAATTTCCAACAAGTAACTAATTCAGATTTTTGAGTGTTGCCTAACATTTTTCAGTGCCTGGGATGAAGTAATCCTTAGTCATGACATTTCTAGGATTGCCTCGAGCCTGCTTTTCTCCCTTTGGCTTCTTGGTATTTCTTTCTCTCTTTTTTTTTTTTTTCATCTTTTTATTGCATATTAAGCCATTGCTGCTTTCTCTATAATCTATTGCATTTTCATGACATATAAATTTCAAATGTTTTTCTGATTTCAGTGGGACCACTGCAGCTGAGTTAAACCAGAGCTTTGTATTACAGTTATGTTTACAAGAATGGTACATTTCTATGGAATTGAAAGGCAAATGTGTTTCATAACCTTTTGTCTGAATTTCTGCTGAAATACAGCTACTGCTACAGACAGTAGCTTGCTTAAGGATTACAAGTAAACAGCATCAGAATTGGTTTGAGAAACTTTATTTTGATGGCACAGGATTTTGAATGTCAATAATCCATATTGTCCATATTGGGATCTTTGATTTGGGAAACAGGAGTCTGCCATCCTCAAAGACCTGAAACAAGGAAGTTCAAGCCCAGTTACCAAAAGCGTTGATGACACAAGAATATTTATTGTACTTTCAATTACTAAAAGATGGTGTCTCCATTCAGAATTTTCTTAGCCTGGATTAGGTTTTAACTTATTATTATTATTATTAGTAGTAGTAGTACGTCAGGTTCTTATTTACTGTCAAGTAGCAGTCAACAGGCTTTTCTGAGAGGAGAGAGTCTGACTCTGGACTTAGTCATATTTTTCTACATTGCCTGTGCTTCACCCAAACAGATTAAAGATTCCTTGCCAGACATACATACTCCATGTTCAGTGGAAGTTTGTATTTTTTGAAAGCCATACTTAGTATTGTTTCAGTCATAAATTTATGGGTAATACAGGCACCTTTCAAACCTGGTGGGTTTAGGAAGCTGGTCACAGAGCATGGCTTCTGTGACACTGTACTTCAACACATGGCTCCAGACTCCCCATCACTGTGAGAATGAGAAAGATACAGATGAAGTTTGTTTTCTGCAGACACAGCTCCCCATTTTCTGATGGATTTTGAGAGCATGCTATGCTGAACAGCTCAACACCTTGCAGACTGATTTCAGCCTGCGCACAACCTCTCAGAACTCAGCAGGAACCCTAATAATGGACTCCAGAAACCTAAATTGCGCAACTAACATCTCTTCCACAGGCTACTTCACATACTACCAGACTTCTGGCTTACACAATTCCTTGCCTTCCACAGAGGTGCAGCTGACACCATGGGTGATGTGGCCAAAAGTATTAGAAAAGACTTCCAGGATTTTTTTCCCTCTAGTGAATGCTTCTTATTGAAGAAGTAAATTAAGTTACTCTACAAAGCTCTGCTCTAATCAGGTATGATCTACAGGACTGATAAAGAAAAAAGGATCTTTCATTTGGAACAGAGGTCAAGGTCAAATGAGCTTTTTGTGTCATAAATGACTTCTTTTATGTGGTACACAGACCAGTCATTTACGGATCAGCTGCATGAGGAATCAAGTCAGTGCATATTTGCTTTGATAAGTCAGATCTATGTACTTGCTCAGAAGCAGCTAAAAACCCCATTTCCCAAAGGTGGATCAGAGATACTGTATTCTAATGAAATGAGGAGAGGCTGACGGCTCTTTCATGGTTCAGACTTCATTACAGCAGAAAAAATTAATATTTAAATAATTCTTAGTGCCCTCTCAAATTAATATTTCTCAGAATAAAAGTTATCCTTCCTGACTTTTCTAGGTACAGCAGC